TATTTGTTGATTGATGATTATTATTATTTTCTACCTTTATTTTACCAGGTGAAATGTTTGAGAACAGTTCTCATTTGCAAATAGATAAATTTTACATGTTTGAAAAGATGATAAAACAGACTTACAACACAAAATTTTTGTGTCATAAACACAAATTAAACACTTAATAAACATGGATTAGAAACATGCAGTGAAAACATTAATTCACAATGACTTTCAGAGCTTTAAATCTGAAAGATTTCATTTAAAATCTCAGTAAAAAGAGCAACATGTGGACAGAGGAGCAGACGTTGTGCGCATGCGCTGAAACCCCAGCTCGTGTTACGTTACAAAAACAGAGCGAGAGGCCGCCAGCCCCCGCCCTCCTCCGCCCCCCCGCCCTCCACCGAGCATCGCGTGAGAGCAGCAGCCGACTCTCTAACTTGATTGTGATTAATGCGCGAGGGGAAGAAGTCCGTGCCAGACCCAACGAGACACTTTTTTTTAAGGTGGTCCAAAAGTCAGGGCAGCTCTCACGACGCGATTCCAGTTTACTGAGCTGGATTATCTAAAGATAATCCGATTTGAGCAGTTCTAAAATTAAAAAAGTCCGTCTGTTTCAGAGTTTCTCTTTCAGTCAGAAAGTTAACATGGCGACAAAAGAAACCTGTTCAGTCCACCTTAATTAACTCTGCCTTCATTTCCAGCACGAGTATGATTTCATAACTTGATTATGCGTTGTGTAAGAGCTTAGTCATTTTTTTTAACTTCTTTGTTTGTTTTTCTTTATTTATTTTTCCCCCCAGCACAAATAAAGACATTCAGCCGAACTTACTGCTTGAGGACCGGCTTCTTCCTCTTCTTGTTGGCGTAAGTTCCTGCGTTATTAAACATGGTGTCWCTCGGTTCAGTCCAACTTTTCTCTCCGCCGGGCTGCCGGGCTCTGCGGCGGTTCGYAGCCGCACTGACAGCTCCCCGCGGGGCTGGTCAAGTCCTGCTGACCTTGGCGGTCGACGGTGAAGTGTCCTCGGACTCCTGAAGTCCGGTGGAAGAGAACAGACTGTGGAGGAAAAGAACTAGACTGTGTCCAACCCCTTCTCTCTGGATAAACAACACCGCCTTCGTACACACACACACACACACACACACACACACACACACACACACA